AATTATTACATTTATTCAATTACTATACTTATTCTTAAAAACACTGTTTATCTAAATAAAATAATTATTAATTATTTAAATAAATAAAAAATTTCATTGGATTTCGCTGGAGTTCTTAATGAAAGTTTTGAATATTTGCTGATGAGCGGCTCTGACCTTTCCGCGCCAAACGGGTCAGACGTCGTTATTTTCCCGCGTCTTTGTCGAGTCAAACAGCAAACGCTGGAGTAGTTCAGCGCGAGGCTGTCAGCTCGTGATTCATTCGCTTCGGCTCGCGTTATTAAAGGCCTTTTAGTTTTTCAAAGCTTCCCCTCTTCCTCGCGCGGTACTTTCATTTCTGCCTTTTGTCCCGGCCGTATTTACAGCCATAATTGAACGGCGTGGGGTCCGTGAGTTCAATTGCAGTCAATATTATTAATAATTATTGAAATAATCATTATCATTTAACTGGACAGCTACACTGTAGCTAAATTATTTATTTATTGGTTAATTTATTTCCTTATAATTTAATAATTATACTTAAAAATTAAAGACATTTGTTTTTTATTACATTTATAATTAATATTATAATTAGATTAATTTACAATCTGACAGCTATATTGACACTAAAATACGATTAATTACATTTAGTTAATTGTTACATTTTAAATTTTCAAAAGTAATTATTACATTTATTCAATTACTATACTTATTGTTAAAATCCCTGTTTATCTAAATAAAATAATTATTATGTAAATAATTATTAATTTAAATAAATAATTAATTTAATTGGATTTAGCTGGAATTCTTACTGAAAGTTTTCCCGCTCATCCTGAACACGTTTGTGTTTGGCAGAAACGTCAGCGGAGTTCAGAAGAGCGAATCTGCTGACGAGCGGCTCTGACCTTTCCGCGCCAAACGGGTCAGACGTCGTTATTTTCCCGCGTCTTTGTCGAGTCAAACAGCAAACGCTGGAGGAGTTCAGCGCGAGGCTGTCAGCTCGTTCGCCGCGTGATTTCTTTAGCTTCGCTCATGTTATTAAAGGCCTTTTAGTTGTTTCAAAGCTTCCCCTTTTCCTCGCGCGACACTTTCATTTCTGCCTTTTGTCCCGGCCGTATTTACAGCCATAATTGAACGGCGTGGGGTCCGCGAGTTCAATTGCAGTCAAAGGGGCCGGCGGATATGAAAAATGGGGCTCTTTTAAATGCTAATCAGCGTGGTTAGCGCATAGCTCCTGCTTGACTGGCAGAAATACTTGTGCAGATCTCCACGAGAAAGTGCAGTGCTTGTGTGAAGATGTCGCAGTGACTTTGCCGAGACAGACATGTTCCTGGATCAACATTACTGTCCAAAAATATAGATCTAACGCAATCCCTAACCCTAACCCTACCCATAATTGATTCCTAAAATCAGAGGGAAATGGTGAATAACAGGGGTGCAGAAGCAGCTAACCCTGATTGCAAGCCTAAAACTGACATTTCTTGAAAACGTATCCCTCAATTCTGATTGGTTGATTGGAATGTTGTTCCAGGATCAACAAGGACAGGTTCTTCTGGAACTCCAGAGACTCGTGTGAGATTACGCTGATAGTTTTCCCTTGAAGAGACATCGTAAGTGTTGTAGACTTGCTCCACAAAAGAAAGGTTTGAAACAACATGAGAGTGAGTAAATGATGACAGAATAAAACATTTTTGGGTGAACTATCCCTTTAATGTTTTTATGCTACATCAAAGCTAAATTATTATTATTATTAATAATTAATTAAATTTAATTATGCTTAGTGTTATAAAATCATTATTTATTATTAGTTATTTTTGGATGTACAATAAACTTTCTTATATACCTGGTTTGACTAGACTGGACCTGTTCTTACCGACAGCCCCACTGGCTTCAAGCTAGCTACCTAAACAGCTGCCAGTTCTCCTCATGCATCCTCCTTTTCAATGAGGCAAAATCACTTTTCCTTTAATTCTCTTGCATAAAACTGCATGTCTTTTTTGGCTCATTTTGCTGCACCACAGCTAAAAACAGCTTTTTCGTAAGTTAAAAAGCGAGAAATACATATTACATCGGCCAATATGTAAATTTCCCGGCTGAGCTGGTGAGAGGAGACTTGCGTCAGCTGCAAAGTCAATAAAGTGGCAGTGAAAGTGATTATATTTGATGAAAGATTATGAAAACAAGCATTTCCTCCTTCAGAATAACATCCACGTTTGATTCAGTCGCAGTGCATGAGCAGAATAACACAGGCTTGTGTTCAGGAGGTGAACTGGAAAACAGTTATTGTCAAAAAATTGAAGCCTGAGTCTGAGACTAGCGGTTAGCGTACATGCTAGTTGTGCACATTGTTAGCATTGAGTGCATACAAAAATACATTAACGTGTGGAGGAAATACACAGCTAAAGATCTTAAATAAAGGGAACGTTGATGTAATATCTGTATCTAAAATGGGTTTCTTCTAAACTGAGCTACATGCTAAAGCTAGTTTGCTAACAATCTCAGTTGTCTTTCTCGCTACTCTTTCATAGTTTAGCAGCGACTTTTTCCATCCTCTGGCTTCAAATATTGTGACGTTGCCCATGATTTCTCTCTGTTTTTCTCTATTTCCTCATTAGCTTGTTAAAAAAGTTAGCTTTCAAAGTCTGAGTTTGTTTTTATGCTAGCATGAGCGTGGTTTTTCCATTTAGCACTGTCATGTGACATTTCTCTTTAATTCCCTGTTAGCTTGCCGAAAAGCTAGCTTTTCTGTTTTTATTAGCATGAGGGTTGTTTCTTGACTTTAGCACAGTTTCACATGTGGTATTTTAGCATTAGCCAAAAGGCCTCCATAGATAATAAAAAAAATTGCTAGCTTCTTGCAGAGCCTATAAATGTCAAATCCATCTGAAAACAAAAAGAGTAATAAACATTTAAACATAGCTTTTAGCTTTTCCGAGAGTGATTAAATCTGATTCTGTCAGATTTCATAGTTTAGCTTCGCCTTTCTCATGCTCCATCTTCAAATAATGTGACATTATCCAAGATTTCTCTCTGAATTTCTCTTTATTTAGCTTAAAAAAGCTAGTTTTTCTGTTTTGTAAGCATGAGGGCGGTTTCTTGGTTTAGCATAGTCTAACGTGGTATTTTAGCATTAGCCAAAAATCCTCCACAGATAAAAGAAAATAGTTGATTGCTAGCTTCTTTTAAAAGCCTTTAAAACATCAGGGAAAAGCGTAATAAACATATCAAACATAGCTGTTAGCTTCTGCGAGAGCGCAGTCGAATCCGATTGTCAGATTTAATAGTTTAAATCTATTTTAAATCGACGACTTCATTCTCTGTTTTTTTCCCCTCAGTTTTCTCTTTATTTCCCCTTTAGCTTGATTTACATTTATATAATCATTATTTACATATATATAATTTTAAATGTGTAATAATTTTTCTTTTATGAAATTACTGTTACTATTATACTTTTTATTATATGTATATATATGTCAATTAGATGATTTTATTATTTACATAATAATGATTTTTTTTTACATTTATAGAATTATACTTTTTTATATATAAAAACAAATTATCTTAAAATGTTATTTGCATATAATAAATACATTTGGATTTACATTTTTACAATGTACATTTTATTTATTAAGATATGTATATATTTAAATTGTTTTTCAAATCTAATTTATAATATTTGTTTAAATAATACAAATATTTATCTTTATTAAATTATTATCATTATTAATTATATATAATAGTCATTTACATATATGCAATAACATCTGGCATCTCAAGTAAAAAGATATTTTATTGTAATGTTTTGACGTTTATTTTGTGTTATTGTGTTGTTTAGTTTATTTATTTATTTTACTGTGAAGCAAGAGTCAGATCCTCATGAATAAGCAGGTTTTCTGTGTTCTGGTGTACCTGTCTCTCTCTCACACACAGGTGTTGGTGTGTCTCTGGCGCTCAGGTTGAAGCAGACAGTTGTGTGGCGCTGCATGTTGTGTTCTGGTGCTCAGACTCGTGCGCTGCACAGCTGATGTGACAGCGGCTCTTTCACAGCCCTGATTCAGTGTGGCACTGAGGAGACTAACTACCTCCTGTGACCAGACCTCACAAACAGCCCTGTAGTGCTGATACCACAACATCAGGAGAACACATAGTAACAGCGTTTTCACATAAACACTAGAAATGGTCATAGTAGTCAACTAACTGAATAGTCATCTAGCAACTAGCTGATTATTGAGTATTAAGGTTGATCTGATATGTCTGTCTGTCTATCTGTCTATACCTATATATCAATACAGTATGTATCACATCAACTTTGAGAAAAGTTGACCAAATATAATTCTTATTTCTATGGTTAAAACTCTTTAATGCAGAGACTGAACTCACACATAAAAAGAGAAAAATATCAAGCTTAATTTTTTTTTATATAGCACACAATAAGGCAAGACATACAAAGCATTACAAAATTAAAAAATATGACATAATACATGTTGATCTTACCCAAGATCACCAAGCACTTTTTAATAAACAACGATCAATTTGACCAGTACACAGATGGCACCTGACCAGACTTCATCTGATCATTGAGGCCATGACACAAAGAATTTTTTTTATACATATTTCCATTGACACACATTTATACATATACAACAGTTGTAGGACTTTGTTTGCTCCGTAAGGGATTCCATAAGTTAAGAGGGAAAAAGAGATCATATTTCTAATAATAATAATGTAAAACAAATATTCCTGGAGGGCCACTTTCCTGCATACCCTGATAGCACACGTACATCACAAAGATGTCTATTTGACGTCTGCATTTACATCTGCTAGAGGTATATTTTGAGTGTTTGCTCATCTGCAATACGTCTAGAGGACGTTTCCTATCAGATGTCAAATAGACGTTTAGAAGATGTCTTTAAGATGTTTATGATGTAAAACTGACATCTTAAAGACGTCTATCAGATGTTTGTTCACAGCAGATGCTTTCCAGATGAAGTGATCTTTAACAGACATCTTGCAGACGTACGTGTGCGATCTGGGTAGTTTAACTCCAACACACCTTCCTGAACGTTTTGTGATCCTTTAGACATTGATTAGCTGATACAGGTGTGTTTAATTAGGACTAGAGCTGCCTTCCAATAGCAGGATTGGACACCCTGGTTTGGATGTTTGTTAAACATTATATGGGATTTATATGGGATTATATCACTCCACCAGTGAGGAACTGTGCAGGTGAATGTTCTGGAAAGTGATTTTGTGTCTTTCTGCGATGGTACCATGAGGCACTACTCACTCACAGACCACAGGCTTTTGGAGGGGATGCACACTTGTCAGAGGTTGTGGAGCCCATTGCTGTTCTGTACACAATCATTGAAGTCTTGAAGGTTTTTTGGGAACCTTCTTGTAGGCTGTGAAAAGAGATATATAGAGGTGTTACATGCTGCACTGAAAACACATAACACCAATAGAATTCTTACAGTTTTATAATTTTAGTGAATAAAAAAAAACATGAAGGAACTGATAAAACACCAACAGGTTCACTTTTACTGCCCTCTTCTTCATTGTCCCACCACACACAGAAACACATGTATAAACATTTGCACAATGCATAGGAATTATGTGTCTTGTAACAGGTCATTAGTACTTACGAGCTTTGAATCTACTCCAGCATTTCCAACGTACAATCAGTGCAAAACTAACTAGGCAAATGACTAGGAAAAGTATGATATATATGATATATAAAGAATGTGGTGGTGGTGGTGGTGATGATGGTGAGCCTGCTGTACATTCTATAATACACAGAAAAACATACACCGTTAATATGGCAGAGCAAAAAAAAAAAAAAA